ATAGATATTGCCTTTTTCCAAGTTTCCAACCCGTCAGCTCTTTCTCAAACCACTCCCCCATGGGATCCCAAATAGAAACCCTCGAAGAAGTCCCTAACGGCAAAACCAGATACGAGTGTGAGAAAGACCCTACACAACACCCCAGTATATTAGCCAACAAGGCTTCATTGGCAACCTCCTCTACCAGAACAATCTCACTTTTCCCAAGTTTAACCTTAAACGCTGACACCACCTATAAGCACATCAAAACACACCACAGGAATCTGAGCTGCAACTCCTCCGCATCACTGAAGATGATGGTATCATCCGCGAAGATGAGAGATCTCTAGTTGATTGGGGGAATACTCTAATGTAACTTATCAAAATAAAATAATAATAATAATAATAATAATAATAAAATAAAAAAGAAACCCTCTAATGTAACCCAACTCCACGGCCCTCCTCATCAGCCTACTAAGAGCCTCCATAAACAGAATGAAAAGGAACGGCCCCTGAAGCAGCCCTCGCAATCTGAAAGAAGCCAAAAGGAGACCGGTTAATCAATACCAAAAATCTCACTGTACAGATGCAAAACCAAATCCATCTCCTGTGTGTTTCCCAAACCACATGCTCTTCAAAATGTACAACAGTAAGCTCAAACTGTAAGCCTTCTCCACGTCCAGTTTGCGAACCACTCCTGGCACCCCACTAGTCAACATAAGTGGGACCAATCAATTTATTATCGTTCAAGATTGTCACAAGTGGATTAAAAGCATTCGATATCTGAAAACATAAACGAAAAGGTATAAAATAAACATTTTGAAAGGACAAAAAATATCGAAAAACTAATCTGTAAATGACAAGTCACAATGGTGCAATCATACCACCCTCTTGATTAGAAGAAAATTACCATTCACCGTACTTTTCACTAACTAGGCAACACTTGCCAAATAAAAAATGGCAACTATTACCCTTTAAATGATAATAAACCTGAGGTGGAGAATAGACATATCTAGTACTCAAGTGTATTCCGTTATCGGAAGTAGAACAATTGAATGACATTCTTTTAGGAACGGCAATTCGTATTGGTGGGTCATAATCATGTCGTGTTCATCTAAGAGTATTCTGCTAAACATGACCTATTTAATAATCGTGGTACCCTCGACAAAACACCACCCGTCCTATTTACACATGACCTGTGTAACCCGTTTAATAAATGGGTCATGTAATGACACAACTCCTTTAATGACATGTTTAACCTGTTTATTAACTTAAGCATAAAATGCAAATATTTAATGAAAAAATTGAGATAATGGATGACTTAATTCATGAAAATAGAATAATTGGAAAAATACAATTACAAAAAAGGCCAAATACAAAATCCATATTGGATTTATACTGAAATAATAGAAACGTCCATAGTAAATTGGGTTAAAATAGGTCAAGGGTAATGGGGTTGATTAATTAAACGGGTCTAATCAGGTTAAATGAGTTGAGCTCCATAATAGGAACATGACACGATTAATTAAACAGGTTGAAACGACTATGACAAACACGACTAAGGTCAACCCAAACCCGCTAATTTCATGTCATGTTCGAGTCTTGTTGGCAGGTCCTGTCGATTTTGCCACCCCTATATCTTCACCATTGGGTGGTTATCTCCACCAGCCTGCCACTAGTTCTGTCAAGTTGAGTCTATACTTGGTAGTCAATGAAATAAATACCCTCCATAGATGAGCATCTGAAACTGGTAACAATGTACTTATCCCACATTACGATAACCCAACATCTAAATCGAATCCAGCTTCCACTTATTTTTCATAACTTATAATGTTTCTTTAAGATGCATATATTTTATATAAAATCCTTGTGCTCCTTATAAATTTTAAATTCAGAAATTTTGGGGATCCATCCTTTTTTTAAATATATAATTTTTTATTTTATAGGCCCACAGACCAAAATTAATTCAAGTCAACTTGGTTCAAAGCTTGATCCGAAATGGGTTAAACTTAAAATTCCCTAAATGAGGTTTAAAACACTTTTAAAAAAATTAATCAAATTTCTGAAAATAAATAAGTACTTGTAAACCCTAAACCTTCCCAGATAAGGACCCCTCGTATTATTTGATCAAAAAAATTAACAAACCTTCCCGAACACCTTCTTAGGACCATAAATGTATTGATGCAAGTTGCATAAAAATGCTAGGTATTGTGTTGGCTTATGCAGAATCAGCCCAAGCTGAAAAGAAACAGCAGGTTGGTAAACCTGACATTTTTGTGAGCCCACCACACTATTGCACCTTGTCAACTTCGGCTGATTCAGCAAAGCGAACATTTTCCAAAGGCCAATATCCAAATTAGAATCATCCGAAATCATTGTGCACTTGTAATGATTCTACAAGCTCATTTGAGATACCTTAGAGAAACTCTTTCAAGAATGCAGCAGTACACAAGTGAATTTAGAAAGAGTGGTCTCTGGTATCACATGTTGTACAACTAAGGTATCCAATGTCACTGACATTTCCATTAAGAATAGGTTTATCTTGGGGACGATAAGTATAATATAATCCTCCCTTAGAAAAGTAAAATATGTGTTAGAAAACACCTTTTTTACCTTCGGATGCCATTTGGATAAGTCACAAACAGTCTGATCGAATCCCTACATCTTCCTTATCTGTACAAGGTAAGGCACCTCCAAAGATAACTGTTGCCAACTAGACTTTCACCTAGTCGACAATTCTAGGAGTAATAAGATGTAGGGAGTCGATCAGACAAGGTAAGGCACCTCCAAAGATAACTGTTGCTAACTAGACTTTCACCTAGTCCACAATTCTAGGAGTAATAACAAACTGCTTATGTATTTCCATGATCATAAACGAAGCCAAACAAGGAGGCAACGAAGCAGCCTTATCCATTTCCTGTATTACGGACTGGCAGAGCCTACTGCCACCCCCATTCACAGTTTGGTTTTTGATTGATGAATGGTGAAGAAGATGGTGTCACTTTGTTGTTAATTGTGGTAAAAATTGATTATGATCTAGGAAGCACAGACACGGACACTGACACACGTCGGACATGCCCCGACACGTGTCGGACACGGCACGGACACGCATCCGACACACCAGGGGTGTGTGTCCGACACGCGTGTCTTATTTTCAGGAGTCTAAAAGATAATTTTTGAAAGAAAATTAGGTTAAAGTATAAATATGTGAAGTTATTTAACAACTTTTACTCACTTATGTGGTCAGTATATAATAATTTTAAACTTGTACGGTTAATATGCAATTTTAGACAAAACAAATAAATATTTAAGGGCCAGTCATTACACTATTACAGTAGATGAGTTATGATTTGTGTATTTCTTTTATCATGAGATTGATGAAAAATAGTAACACTCAGTAATTTTTAAAGTACTACATCATATATATATATATACTAATTGCCGTGTCCCTGCCGTGTCCCTGCCGTGTCCGTGTCCTAATTTTTTTGGATTTGCCGTGTCGCCGTGTCCATGTCTGTGTCCGTGTCCGTGCTTCTTAGATTATGATAGAAATGACTGACATCGAATCTGCAAATATGAATATGGGACAAAGTGGGCAACAATCGTGACTGTGGCCATGAAGATATATGTCGTTGAGCATTTCTTCTGCAATGGAGATGGCAAGGATGCTAACAAACTCAAAGATTATAGGAGGCAAAGTGAAGTTTAAAGATGGTGGAAGCAACTTTTGTTGGTGATACTAGGATACCTAAGAGTGTTTTAGAGAGTCGGTGGTCAAAGGCAAAGATCTGGTGTAGATAGTGACGGTGAAAACAGTGATACAACATAATAGAGTCTTAAAATTCGTCAAGGCTATTATGGCAATGTAACATTTCCAATTAACGGCATACACGGGAAAAAAAAAAATTGAATATTGGAAAAGTTTGTTGACTTTTCGTTCTGAGATAATAATGTGAGAAGGGGTCATAACCATATAATATCCCAAAAGAATTTTGAATCTAGGAACTATTTGTGATAAGATGCTATTTTTGTTTATGAAATTAGTGACAGCTAGGAACTCCACCAGTAATGGACAAGAGTCCAGTTCTCTTGCAGTGTGGAAGTTGTTAATTGTTATTGTTGTTTGACTTTTAGAAAAGGTTTGTAAAACTGGTAGCAGTTGGGAACTTTGCTAGAACCAGACAAGATTGCAGCTATGGTATGACCTGGAAGTTATAATTCTCTGAACTATCAAAATTAGAAAAGATATATATATTAAAATCAAGAATATCAGAAAAAATTAAGAAATTATAAAAAAATAAAAAAAGAGAGTAGCAGTTTATCGGAAAGAACCAAATAAACCTTCTACATTATTCCAAGAAAATATTTGGGTATCGAATTCTTTCATTAGGTGTTATCTATATTCGAAGAAAACAATAATTTTAAACCCAACAAGTGCAGTTTCGGCATTCCTGTGACTAGCGCAGCGAAAACATCTCACAAGCAAAAAATCAACACTAATTGATAGAGTACGGGTAAAAAGGAAAAGAGGAGCCAGTCAAAAGAAGTAAATTAAGCTCGCACCACAGAAAAACTCACCGACCTTCCAGGTAACTCCAAAGGAGAGACTACCTCTAGTATACCAGTTCAAAAACACACCAATAGCAATCTCAAAAAATAAATACTCAAATTGAATTTAACCCCCGACCACTCATATTGATAATGATGATGGTAACATGTGGACTATAAAAAATAGTACAATTGCGTTAAACTTTTTCTCTCAGACAAATAGGAATATATAGGCAACGTCCAAAACAAAGGACTACAGTTAGACAATCATGCCAATAATGAGCATCGATCTGACATAAAGATCTATAAGTTTTGGATGGACCAAAGTTAAGCACCAGAACTTGGTCTATTTTAGTGAGGTGTAGGACACAATCAATGCTATATATATATATTCCATTCCTATGGGACATCCATGAATTCAAGTGCATCGGTAACAACCACATATTCGATGTTTCATTAGACATACGCAATCATTGAAGATAAATAAGTAGAGAGAGCATAATGTGAATTTAAAACAATTATATTACAGAAGTCTCAATCCTGTACCCATGAATTATTGAAAGTAAAAATGACACATAGCAAACAACATTTTTATGATAAAGGAAACAACATCTGACAAATGACAGTATAAAATCCTTAATCCCAAGAATTTACTGACCTGTCAATGCCTAAAGGAGCACAAAGTCGTCAACTAGAATTACTTACAGGTTAAGGCCTATGTTGGCCATCTGATTAACTAGCAGCTTCCCTCCAAACCCGAAGAATTAATGTCTACATTTTCACCATTGATCTGAGCATGCTTTTCATCAGTTGCTAAACCTACAGTCTCATCATACCCATTGGCAGCTAAACCTGTTACTCCAACCCCGCCATTCAAATAAGGAAGATAGACAGTAGCAGCACTTCCATAAGGCAATGGACTTCCCCTAACACCAACCACTGCATGGCCATCCCAAAGACTCCTAGGCGGAACTGGAGGCACCCCATAACCAATCCCACCATATCCTCCAGTAGGGTACCCGCCCCCAAATATGTTTGTTCCATAAGGATACCCCGCAAAACCACCATACCCAGAAAAAGGTCCATAACTTGGAAGAATCTCATATCCAGTATACGGCAAGTAAGTCTGGTGACTGTTAAAGGGAGACCCTCTTCCACTATCCACTCTCGCAATAAAACCGTTGTTACTATTGTTGTTTCCGTCCTTGGGTATGGCCCTCTTAACCTCAACAGACTTACCACTCAATTCATGGAAGTTATTCTTCATAACATCCTCTACAGCATCCTCCGAATCAAAGGTGATAAACCCAAAACCCCTAGGCCGCTTGGTAAAATTGTCATGCATTACAACTACATCTGTTATCTTACCAAACTTCTCAAAGTAACTCTTGAATTCTTCCTCGGTTAGACTAGGTGATAAACCCCCTACAAAAATCTTCTTAGTCCTAAACTGATCATTGCTCCTACCATTACCTCTACTTTTCCTATTCAATCCTCTATTCTGCTGTTGATTTTGGTGTTGCTCACTTCTGGGTATTGCTTTTTTCACATCTACCTATAAGGAAAACAAAAAATCAAACACCTCAAAAGATAATAACCTATAGAAAGGAACAATCATTATTTTTTTATGATGAGACTAAAGGAAAAGGAAAAATATATATATAACAATGCACATACACTAATTCGCATTTCAATTTAAGAAGAAAATTAAAGGAAAAAAAACATATATATTAAAATAACATATAGAAACACAAAATTTTGCCTTTTTTCCCTAGAAAACTACACAAAGCAGCAAAATAAGAGAACAAAATTACTGTACAATAAATTTAAAGAAAAAATAGCAGAAAACTCCTTGCTTTAAAAACTACACAGACGCACATAAATCATTTCCAACAATTAAAAAAAAATGAATGAAAAATATATATCTTAGGATGATAAAAAAAAAACCCAATATATACACATATACAAACTTGCACAGATAGAGAAGAACGTTCACTCTCTTACACAAAAAAAAAATCAGACACATTGCAATAGAAGAGGGGAAAAAGAAGTCAAACGGCCCAGAAATTAAAATCCCAAGTAAAGAAAAACTAAAAATTTCCTGATAAAAGCACCAAAAAATACAAAATTACTAACGAAAAATAACAAGAGAGAGAGAGAGAGTTTTGAACAGACCGTTCTTTTAAGGATGACATGGGTGTCTTGAAGAGCTTTATCAACAGCAGATGGGTCTGAGAAGGAAACAAAACCGAACCCTCTTGAGCTTCTGGTGTTTGGATCTTTGGCGATCAGAGACCAAACAACATCACCGTACTTGCCGAAGTGATCTCTCAGTGTGTCCTCGCTTGCATGCTTAGAGATTCCTCCAATGAACAGCTTGCTTTGGTCAGAGTCCACCATGGAGAACCCACCAGTGACAGAAACCCAAAACCCTAATTAGAAATTCCAACAACAATGAACCCCTGAAAGCAACAAGCCCCTAAATTTTCCTAGGTTTCTTCAGGAAAAGTCAGTAAAAACTCCTCTCTTTACCAAACAAGAAACCTAATTTGGATAGAACACTAATAGTATTTCTAAGCATCTTAAAACCAATTGTAGATAGACCAATTTTCTAGGGTGTCTCTTCAAAAGCCATATAAAAAGCTCAATTTTAACAAATTATAATACAAATCATGATTAGGATAAGTTTGGATTAACTCTTTTCATTTTTTCTTTTTCTATAAAACAATTATTGTTACGATTTTTGGTATATTGGGCTTTTTCCAACTTGGACATAGTCAAGTTTACATGCCAATGTGTAGCTACTTACAATTGTACTGACATTGTTTAGTTAGTAGCGCCTTTGTTAGCATTGACCTACTGTTTGCTAACCCCAGGAAAAAACCAGTTTAGACAATACATTCAATTATGTGTATCTTACACGCACAATAATGACGATTGGATGCGCGCAACAGGAATAAGGACGTTTTTCTCACACACCAAACATTGCCCTAGCCCATCTAATAAAATCAGCTCCACACCGGATGCTCCAAGTGTGGATTGAGTCGGGGACAAAGAACTCAAATTTCAATTCAACAATTGAGCTTTTCATGTGTCTTTCTAATATTTTATATAAGCTTTTCAATTTTTATCTTTTTAAAATTAGGTTAATAATTAATATACCATTGTTATTTTTTAATAGTTGGTTACCAATTTTAATTCAATAGTTGTGCATTCTAGCATCTTTTGCTAATTAGTTGTGATTTGTGAAACATCACATCTCTTTGTGTCACGGAGTATTTATTAAACTGATTGATTGCAATTCAACGCATTTAACTTATCTTAATTAAATTTTATTTCTTATATACATAATTATATATATATAAGTGAATGGCATTTTTAATTTTTATATACACTTTTTCAATTTCCTAATATACAACTGTTAATTTTTATATAGTTACTTGTCAATTTCAATTCAACCATTGTGCCTTTTTAGAAGTCTTCCTAATATCTCTTTTTATAATTAATTTTAGTGGTACCAAACCTTCGATTCCATGGTTCTAGGCTTCTAGCCTTTTCCTTGGACCTCAGCTGAACATTTGAAAAAAAAAATATTACAGAATAAAACAAATTATGATTAAATCAATTATTTAATAAAAAAAATAAATAAATGAAAATCTTAAAGCTTCTTTTATCTTATACTTCTTCTCATATAGCAAACGCTCATTTTCTTCAATATGAAAATGAAATTTTTGCTTTAATCTAGTTCAACCATTTTTTTAAAAAAAAAATCTTAGAGGGTCGGTTTTACACATTTTTTTACTTGTTTTTTAAGTCCTAAAAGGACTTTCTAACATTTATAAAAACTTTTTTTACTCCCATAATTAATTACGATTTTTGAAATTAACCCTTTTGCTGTTGATAAATATATGTTTCATGTAACATTTAGGATATAACAAACCTTATATTACTATGTCATGAGATAATTAATAATATGCTAAGAAATCATTAATTAAATATGCAACACTATATTTAATTAAATATGCAAAATAAAGTAATAAATTAATAACTAATAAATAAAGAACCTGAACCGAGGTTAGTATTTAATACTATATCCTTAAGACAGATTCGTCCCGCTATGGTGTTAACAGATTCAATGGTGTATATCTCCCAGGATACAACGGTCTACATCCACCAGTAGCAGCACTACAAACTCGTGGATACTACGAACCTCCTCCGTGTAATACTCTCTCTGACTCAAAAATGCATCTATACTATATAAATACTAAATTGGGTGCAATCCGAACCAAATGGTTCAGACCAATCTTAATATGGCTCTATAAAATTGGAATAGGGTCTAAGTGGCTCAGACCACTTAACTTATGGTTTGAACCCACTTGGGTTGGGTTCAAGTCTAAAGAGGGAGATAGAAGAAAATGAAAATGAACGATTTGCAAATGATCCAAAGGGGGGTATTTATTGGCAACAAGGTGCCTTTTTAGGTAGGTGCAACCATTTGGAAAAAAACTAAAAAGTAGTTTTTAAGCTGTGATACCCTTTGGATCCGAGACACGGGTTGATCAGGCCCAGGCCCAAACCCGAGGGATATCGAACAATTAAAGTATTTTAAATCGAACACGGAATACAAAGTGAAATAAAAAATAAAATTAAATAGCTGGAACAAACTAAAATAAAAATCTATATTCCAAAACCTCCATAGTTTACAACTCGGGAATCCTTCTAGAGGACACCTAATAAAAAGTCTCGAACTGGAAATAAAACATAAAGCTAAACATAGAGAGTGGTCCTACGTAGTCAGTGGAATGGAAGTCTGTATCTGCTCTGCACGATCAACCTCTAATTCTGGAACTGCCGAGCACCTGAAAAATAAAAGGAGTGGGTCAAGCCCACATGCAAGTCCTGATCTATTACGATCCAAACAGTAATCCGATACGCGGATACATCCTAGAAAGACTCAACAATATTTAGAGTAGTCCACATATATATATATAGTACACACTATAGAATGCTCGCTAGTCCAGTAGGTCTGTCTCAGCCTGAATAAAAGGCAACATGCGAATACGCACCCGAAGATGGGCATGAGTACCTAGACCTACCAGGGAACAACACCTATGTACAGTTATCCATCCTAGGCGATATACGTGCCCTAACCATGGTCCTGAGACTCAAACTCATACCATGACACATATTATAAATATATAAAGTCCGTACTCCTAATACAAACTATCATCCATCTGTATAGTGGTCTAATATATGTATAACAAATCCATCCTGAAACCATAATAGGTCATTCAATTTATTTGATTGATATGACACAAGTAGGTGATGGACTTAACCTTTATGGTTAATCCATACCTTAATCCAAATTAGGTAGGACTTAGTATTTTGAACTAATCCATTCCCAATATAAGTAGGTCTTAGTGTTTTGAACTAAGCCATCCCTAATATGATATCGTCCCATACCAGTTCATATATATCCATATAAGTAGGACTTAACCTTGTTATGGTTAATCCAACTTATTCCAAATTAGGTAGAATTTAGTGCTTGAACTAATCTATACCCAGTATATCACCGTCTCATACCGGTACATACAATCCTCCAGTTAACATAGTTGACAATACAATATTAAATAGTTATCAACTATACTCCAAGTTATACACAAGATATATGAATCCATATACATAAATATTAAGCATTCAATACAAGGCCTAAAAACCATATCCAATGTTGTAAACTGTTATAATATATGCTAACATTTACTTCCTCCAACAAGATCCATGAATTGATACAATTTAATACAATTTAAGTACCAATTAAGTCCAACCTAAGTATAGTTGATTATAAATAAATCACCATACTTAAAACACTGAGGAAACATGATTATATATATCATTGAATCATATAAAAAAAATCTGCTAAATTCCAGTGCACAAAACTAGTAAAACGGTGTGCATCATTTAAGTTTTTCTTAAACTTTATATTGCTCCTTCAATTAATCCCATTATAGATTAATGTTCCTCTATACTAAGCTTAGGTCTAAAACAGTTCCATCCAATATTTAAAACAGTTTAAACACAATAGAAATACTCAGAATAGTCAAAACGACGCACAAAAACCCAGTTTGCAATCTACCGTTTTTCTTTAGATTTATTTTGCTCCATTCCTTAGCTCAATCATGGATTAATGTTTTCCATATTAGATTAAGTCTATTATAGTCCCAACACATCAATTAAAATAGTTTAAAAGAGATGCTATACACTGTACAACTCAAACTACGCACAGAAAAATCAAAAAACAACATACTGTGAGAGTTCTGGACTAGAGCAGGCTCAAAATAAAGTAGAGCCTGCTCTTTTATGGATTGAGCCGGCTCTATGGCTCTAAGAGCCAGTTCTAAATGGCCAAGAGCCGGCTCTAAGGATATTAGAGCTGGCTCTTTCCCTTTTTGGAGCCTGCTCTTGCTCCCTTGCATGTCGTTGTCCGTTCCTACTTCATCTTCTTTAACACCGGTGTTTTCCTAGACCCTCTGTGATGTTTTTAATCCTTGTTCTAGGTTCCAAATCAGTCCTAGGTTCATCTTAAACCACAGATATCCATTCATAACATGTATTGAACACAGGTTTTGAAGCAACGACTACAGAGATACAGTTAGCAATCTGAAGCAACCCAAAACAGATTAATTCCATGAATTTAAACACTGTTTTAAAGAACTTGTTCTAGGGTTTAATTTTAGACCTAGATCAATTACAAATCATCCACACATACTTATGATCTCAATTTCATCAAAGCTTAAAATGTAAACACCACAGTAGGACCAAATAACAAAACATCAAAAGTTATACAATAGTTAATACATGAGACTAAACAGAGTTTATATTTGCATCAAAGACATGTTAATATGTTTGATTACATTTGGTTTAGCTTTTATTAAGTTCCTGGAGTCTAACTAGGCATGCACAGAACACGAATTAAAGGGAAAGAGAAGAACAGAGACTTGCCTCTGATTTCCGGTTGGAAATCTAAAACTGTCGTTTCTAGCAACTCCGGCAACGTCAATTGTTGTTATCAACCTCTGCCGCTCCTAGTTAAATCCAAAACTCCTCCTTGAATCCCTCCTTTAATCTCTTAAGGTTCTCTCAGTATTTTGTCTCACAAAACACACTCGGTTGCTCTCTGTATTCCCTTTGTATTTTATGTACGTAAATATGGTGAATAGGGTTTACAAAAACCCTTAGCAGACGTATACTTATGTATTTATAGGCTTAAGTTGAAACCCTAAATTAAATCCTAAACCAACTACAAGTCGGCTCAAACCCAGACACGATGAATTTAAGCAAAACCCTAATGTACACCAACTCACGTAAATAATTTAATCCATTTAAAATAAAAAAAAATTAATTACATAAACATGAGACTAAAATAATTAACCCAATAACATAAAATAAAACCATTTAATTAAATACAAATTCACAAAAATGCAAATAAATAAAGAAACAAAACCACCAAGCCAAATAAAACAATTAAATTAAGAAAAAAACACTTAAATAATTAAATTAAAATTCCAGGATTGTCCTTTTAAATTAGGGGTATTACATAAGCAATGTGCCTTTTCGGATTGAGTGTGTCTCTTCATCATTGGACACAACCATTTATATGTGTCTCTCCATCATTGGACACAACCATTTATATGTGTCTCTT